TTTTGCAAGGGGAATGTTTTGGGTAGAGTTCAAGAGCAGCGTGCTACGAGTGAACCGAGCGAGGTCATCAAAACGGGGAATGAAGAAAAACGGAGCGCCAATGATACAACAACAACAAAAGTGTCACATTTTGTATTTAAAGGTTTCCCACTAAATATGGATTTTCAGGAACAAGAAAGACATGCGTTTGATTCCCGACTCTGGTACGTTTCTGTCTGGAGCTAGCGCCGTTCTCCCCTCTCCTGCATGGGTTTCCTCTGGGTGTTCTCAGTTTTTATAACAAAGAAAAACACAATGTCACTGGTATTGGCCAACAATCAGAATGATAATCAAATCCCTGCAAACTACTCCAGTTGGGATTACGTGCGAGTACGCATGAGACAACCAGACAACGTCGTGAGAATTATTTTATTATGTTTTATTTTTATTATTTCCATTCTACGTGACTTTACCGAAAGAACCAAGACGATGAGTGCAAAGTGCTACACGCGAGGCAGTAACATGCGAGACACACAGTACGCAACAGTACAGATGACTTAGTAGTCAAGACCAACAAACTGTGCACACGTGGCAACAAAAACGAAACGGTGGGAGCGAGACAATACGAACCAGTCATGACGGTGATTCGGGTCACTCTTGCAAACGGCGCGTAAACCCCAGAGGTCACGAGTTGTCACCCGCTTAAGACGTGTTTGACTACGAAGAGCTATGACAACACGGTACACACACGCAAGACAGCACTGTCGTTGAGCACAAGTACGCATGAGACACCCAAGGACTAAACGAGTACTTGACGGTGCTGAATGGACGGCAGCGGAGTCACAAACCGAAGCGTGGCGGCATTATGCATCGAGGCAGTCTGGACGCGTGTTGATGCCACACAAAAAGACAAAGGTCCCTCGGTATTTAAGCCTTCAAACAGCCTGCCGGGGCAAGTGCTGTCGGCGAAGGCCTGTGAAGGCCGGGGGGGGGGGTGCGGTGTGTCAAATAACTGTGGCCCGGCAGCCTTTGTCTTCCCTCCAGTGGGCGATGTTTTACGACACACGGCACAGGCGACTCATTTGAGGTCGTGTCCAACGTGAAGGGGAGAAGAGAGGCCAACCTCCCAGGACCGATTGCAAATATTTGGCACTCGTTATGAATATGTCGATGAGAGTGGGAATCGAACTTGGAGCGGGGGGAGGCAGCGGGGGGGTCGGGGTTCTTAACGCAGTGGGGCGCACTAACTTTCACCGCGTCAACTTTCACCGCATTAACTTTCACCGCACCAACTTTCACCGCACCAACTTTCACCGCACCAACTTTCACCGCACCAACTTTCACCGCACAAACTTGCACCGAACCGACTTGCACCGAGCCGACTTGCACCGCGCCGACTTTCACCGCGCCGACTTGCACCGCGCCGACTTGCACCGCGCCGACTTGCACCGCGCCGACTTGCACCGCGCCGACTTGCACCGCGCCGACTTGCACCGCGCCGACTTTCACCGCGCCGACTTTCACCGCGCCAACGTTTCACCGCGCCAACGTTTCACCGCGCCAACGTTTCACCGCGCCAACGTTACACCGCGCCGACTTCCACCGCGCCGACTTCCACCGCGCCGACTTCCACCGCGCCGACTTCCACCGCGCCGACTTCCACCGCGCCGACTTCCACCGCGCCGACTTCCAGCCTCCACCGCGCCGACTTCCACCGCGCCGACTTCCACCGCGCCGACTTCCACCGCGCCGACTTCCACCGCGCCGACTTCCACCGCGCCGACTTCCACCGCGCCGACTTCCACCGCGCCGACTTCCACCGCGCCGACTTCCACCGCGCCGACTTCCACCGCGCCGACTTCCACCGCGCCGACTTCCACCCCCCGCGCCGACTTCCACCGCGCCGACTTCCACCGCGCCGACTTCCACCGCGCCGACTTCCACCGCGCCGACTTCCACCGCGCCGACTTCCACCGCGCCGACTTCCACCGCGCCGACTTCCACCGCGCCGACTTCCACCGCGCCCGACTTCCACCCGCGCCGACTTCCACCGCGCCGACTTCCACCGCGCCGACTTCCACCGCGCCGACTTCCACCGCGCCGACTTCCACCGCGCCGACTTCCACCGCGCCGACTTCCACCACCGCCGACTCCACCGCGCCGACTTCCACCGCGCCGACTTCCACCGCGCCGACTTCCACCGCGCCGACTTCCACCGCGCCGACTTCCACCGCGCCGACTTCCAACCGCGCCGACTTCCACCGCGCCGACTTCCACCGCGCCGACTTCCACCGCCGACTTCCACCACGCTCCGACTTCCACCGCGCCGACTTCCACCCGCGCCGACTTCCACCGCGCCGACTTCCACCGCGCCGACTTCCACCGCGCCGACTTCCACCGCGCCGACTTCCACCGCGCCGACTTCCACCGCGCCGACTTCCCACCGCGCCGACTTCCACCGCGCCGACTTCCACCGCGCCGACTTCCACCGCGCCGACTTCCACCGCGCCGACTTCCCCGCGCCGACTTCCACCAGCGCCGACTTCCACCCGCGCCGACTTCCACCGCGCCGACTTCCACCCGCGCCGACTTCCACCGCGCCGACTTCCACCCGCGCCGACTTCCACCGCGCCGACTTCCACCCGCGCCGACTTCCACCGCGCCGACTTCCACCGCGCCGACTTCCACCGCGCCGACTTCCACCGCGCCGACTTCCACGGCGACTTCCACCGCGCCGACTTCCCACCGCGCCGACTTCCACCGCGCCGACTTCCACCGCGCCGACTTCCACCGCGCCGACTTCCACCGCGCCGACTTCCACCGCGCCGACTTCCCCCGCGCCGACTTCCACCGCGCCGACTTCCACCGCGCCGACTTCCACCGCGCCGACTTCCACCGCGCCGACTTCCCCCGCGCCGACTTCCACCGCGCCGACTTCCACCGCGCCGACTTCCACCGCGCCGACTTCCACCGCGCCGACTTCCACCGCGCCGACTTCCACCGCGCCGACTTCCACCGCGCCGACTTCCACCGCGCCGACTTCCACCGCGCCGACTTCCACCGCGCCGACTTCCACCGCGCCGACTTCCACCGCGCCGACTTCCACCGCGCCGACTTCCACCGCGCCGACTTCCACCGCGCCGACTTCCACCGCGCCGACTTCCACCGCGCCGACTTCCACCGCGCCGACTTCCACCGCGCCGACTTCCACCGCGCCGACTTCCACCGCGCCGACTTCCACCGCGCCGACTTCCACCGCGCCGACTTCCACCGCGCCGACTTCCACCGCGCCGACTTCCACCGCGCCGACTTCCACGCGCCGACTTTCCCCCCGCGCCGACTTCCACCGCGCCGACTTCCACCGCGCCGACTTCCACCGCGCCGACTTCCACCCGCGCCGACTTCCAACCGCGCCGACCTTCCACCGCGCCGACTTCCACCGCGCCGACTTCCACCGCGCGACTTCCACCGCGCCGACTTCCACCGCGCCTAACTTCCACCGCGCAGACTTCCACGCGCCGACTTCCACCGCGCCGACTTCCACCGCGCCGACTTCCACCGCGCCGACTTCCACCGCGCCGACTTCCACCGCGCCGACTTCTCACCGCGCCGACTTCCACCGCGCCGACTTCCACCGCGCCGACTTCCACCCCACGCGCCGACTTCCACCGCGCCGACTTCCACCGCGCCGACTTCCACCACGCGCCGACTTCCACCGCGCCGACTTCCACCGCGCCGACTTCCACCGCGCCGACTTCCACCGCGCCGACTTCCACCGCGCCGACTTCCACCGCGCCGACTTCCACCGCGCCGACTTCCACCGCGCCGACTTCCACCGCGCCGACTTCCACCGCGCCGACTTCCACCGCGCCGACTTCCACCGCGCCGACTTTCCACCGCGCCGACTTCCACCACGCGCCGACTTCCACCGCCGACTTTCCACCGCGCCGACTTTCACCGCGCCGACTTTCACCGCGCCGACTTTCACCGCGCCGACTTTCACCGCGCCGACTTTCACCGCGCCGACTTTCACCGCGCCGACTTTCACCGCGCCGACTTTCACCCGCGCCGACTTTCACCGCGCCGACTTTCACCGCGCCGACTTTCACCGCGCCGACTTTCACCGCGCCGACTTTCACCGCGCCGCGCCGACTTTCACCGCGCCGACTTTCACCGCGCCGACTTTCACCGCGCCGACTTTCACCGCGCCGACTTTCACCGCGCCGACTTTCACCGCGCCGACTTTCACCGCGCCGACTTTCACCGCGCCGACTTTCACCGCGCCGACTTTCACCGCGCCGACTTTCACCGCGCCGACTTTCACCGCGCCGACTTTCACCGCGCCGACTTTCACCGCGCCGACTTTCACCGCGCCGACTTTCACCGCGCCGACTTTCACCGCGCCGACTTTCACCGCGCCGACTTGCACCGCGCCGACTTGCACCGCGCCGACTTGCACCGCGCCAACTTTCAACGCGCCAATTTTCACCGCACCAACTTTCACCGCACCAAATTTCACCGCACTAACGTTACACCGCACCAAATTCCACCGCACCAACTTTCACCGCACCAACGTTTCACCGCACCAACTTTCACCGCACCAAATTTCACCGCGCCAACTTTTACCGCACCAACTTGCACCGCACCAACTTTCACAGCACCAACTATCACAGCACCAACTTTCACCGCACCAACGTTTCCCCCGCGCTCCACCAAACCACGTGCGTCTGCGCTCCACACGCGGACAGTGAGACGGGACAGTGCGACTGCACACCCAGACCCACAGGCCACGTGTTGTGGTCGCGAAGGAAGCCGTGACGTCAGGGCGGAGAGGCGGCGGTGGGGGGGGAGGGAGGAAAGCGTGGAGGTGGTGGACCACAGCTCGCGAAGTTTGCGCCCGATGCCGTCTACGATGGGGGTGGGGGGGGGGACGTAAGCATCACCCACCGCCGCTTCCACCAACATCAGCGGCGACTTCTGTCTGCCCCCCCCCACTCACAGTCAACCCACCCCTGCCCACGTGCGGTGGAGGGTGACAAGAAGCGCGCATCTGTGGCAGTCGTGGAAAGCCAGGGGCAGGCGGGCAGTTGTGGTCTCTCTCTGCACGTGGAGAGTGAGACGGGCAAAGCGACGGGGTGTTCAGTGGGTAGTTAGTCCGCCAGCGGTGGTATCGAGTGACGGAATTATTTGTGAACACGTGAACATTAATGATCGTAGCTGTTGAATTGAATAGCCGCAGCGGGAGGAAGTTTCTTAAAGTGTGTTTCGCACGTATCGTCTATGTATTCAAATAGACCGCGTTAAGGCGGACAAAAAACTAAATTTCGTTATTTCGAACGAAACTAAAAAATGCCAATGATGCCTGCTGGTACGAGAGAGTAGAGGATGTTTTAGCTTTTGGCAGAGAGGCCAGCATCGCAGCTGGAGGGAGACGAGTAGTGGTTTGACGTGGACGCCAATGTTTTCTGGTGGTCTCGTAAAAGACAAACCCGACATGGATAGAGACAACGGAGAAAACAAGAGACAGAGAGAGAGAGCGAGGAAACAATAGGTGTGTTTCATTAATTTTAAAGAGGACAGAAACCCCCCCCCCCCACCCCCCTCTCCATCCATCCCCCTGCCATCTGTGCGGCGCATTGGAGCGGGCCGGGCCGTGGGAGGGCTTCGTCCTCCGCGAGACGCGCGCGGGGACAGGAGGAGGAGGAGGAGACCTGGGATTACAATTGAGCACGGGCACCGGACGGGCGAGAGACAGGTGCTGTGGCCAGGTAGGTGCTCTGGAGAGACGCAATGCACCTGTGTTGGTGGGGAGGGGAGGGGAGGGGGTGGCTGGTCACTTCGTTGTTCTTTTTTTCCCCGAACGCTTTGTGCGAAAACGGCACGCACGCAGTTAAACACGCAAACATTGACGTTTTTTTTGGAAGAAAAAAAATCGACTTTCGTGGAAATTGACTTCCCATATTACCCCTCTGTCTGCTTTGTCTTCACCGGAGATGGTTTCATATTTGTTTTATCTCTCTCTCTCTCTCCCCCCGTTGTGTCAAAACCGGTTGAACTACTGCGGCATGGATGATGACGTGCATAAGGAACACGTGTAAAGTTCACATTTGACCGGTTGTGCAAGGGGGGGGGACCCCCAGCGTGAACTATATAACACACGTGGGGATTGTTTGTTTGTGGTTGTTGTTGTTCCTATGCTGTGCATATAAAATTGTGCGAAGGATGTTAAATGAAAGGAGGAGACGGAGAAGAAATTGCGCGGATACTTTTTTTTGCTGGGGACGCAATTGGATTGCCACACTCGCGTCTTATGCAATTGAATGTGCGCGTCAACAGCGACCCACGCAGTCCTCTACAGCTCCGGGTTGTGGGGCCTTTCAAGCGGCGGTGCCTCCATCCTTACCCCCCAGCAGTTTCATCTTCATCAGCCTCATCATCATCATCTTCATCAACATCTTCATCATTATCACCACCACTCGTGACTGCCCAACCGACACAACGCGCGTGTTCTGTTGGAACAAGCGGACTTTACTCAGCGACCACCGGCGGATACTGCCGTGGAATTGCTTGCAAAATAAAATAACAAGTTTATTTAAGTTGTATATGCAATTGTAGCCTGTTGCCCCTTTTTCTTCTCTTCTCAAAACGCGAGACGAAGGAAGAGGAACGTCGTCACCATCGGCAGCGGCGTCGTTAGCGGCAGTGGCAGCAGCAGCAGCAAGGGCATCATCGTTCATCAGTGTAGCTTAGTGCATTAAGGTCATCGTCACATCATCATCATGACCACCACTATCAACGGCACAACGGAGGCATCACCACCATCATCAATATCATCATCATCGGAAGCCGTATCAGCGGCAGCAGTCCCATCAACGTGATCATCGTAACCATTACCAGCGGCATCATCATCATCTTCATCACGAGCACCTTCGATTAGCGCGGTTGGCTACGTACGGTGCGAAAGAAGTTCAATATAAGCAGCAGCATCTGACGTCGCCATAATCATATTCATGCCTTTTACGGTTGGAAAACATCGGATGTTACCAAACTCTGCCCTTATGAAATTGTCAGTGACTCTTTCATCAGTCAAAGGTTACGTGTGTATGTATGTTGAACTTCGGAGACGTGCAAAGGTTAACTATGAGATGCGTTAAAATGTTATGGACGTAAGTCGCTCATCAATCATCATCATCCAGGGTGAATCCACTGCTACATGAAGGCCCGCCCAAGCCACAGCCAGTGTCTCACTTTCCTGCGATGAAATAAATCCACCTTGCACCTAAACCCGAGCTGATTTAATTGTTCCATCTCAACGGCGAACGTCCCGCATAAAATAGGACGGGTTCCCATTTCCTTTGCCGCCTATTCCGTCATTATTCTTGTCCATCTTTTCTCGCGACCTGTACTGCCCAAGCCCGCCTTATCTTTCTCAGCAGTGCGAATAAATGTATGTACTGTATGTTGAACATCTTTCGCACCGTACGTAGCCAACCGTGCTAATCGGAGGTTCGGGGAAAGGACGGCAAACACAAAACAACTATTCTAAAGCAATTAGTTTGTCAATCTATATGGTTTAAAAGTGCATAGCTCCGGTGGCTTCCTAATATCGGAAGGAAGAGCGTTCCAGACGGCCGCAGAAGCGCATCTGACAAGAGCGACTTTGTTCAATGTCCAGCCGAATTCCGCGGTGAGGATGATCGGAGTGCGCGTGATAGTTTATGCTCCATGGCGAGATCAGCACGGTGTTGTGTGCCTGATATGTGGCAAGCACTTTGTGTGTAACTAGTGCGACCTTATAATGGCAGTAGCCTGTGAATAACTTCAGTAACCTCTGTACTCTATGGTTCTTTCGGTAAAGTCACGTAGATATAAACAAAACAATAACAATCAAATAATACAAATAAAGTGAATATTTTATTATTGTATTGTTTTTATTATAGGTTATTTCGGAAAAGTCACGTAGATAGAAAAAATAATAACAATAAAATATTAACTTTATTTTCATTATTTTATTGTTATTATTTTTTCTATCTACGTGACTTTACCGAAAGAACCAAAAATAATAACAATAAAATATTAACTTTCTTTTCATTATTTTATTGTTATTATTTTTTCTATCTACGTGACTTTACAGAGAGAATCATAGAGTATGAATTCATGCAGTCACGAAAGTTTTAAGTCCAAATTGAACCTTTGTACGTTTAGTTTTTGTTTCATTTCCACTTTCTGAATATCTGAACCATGTCACAGCAGTTGTTCATTCGCTGATTTAACCATTATTGCTCGGGCACATTGTTGATACGTTACATTGTCCTTATCAAGTTCACCTGTTCTGCAGCACTCTGTAAGTAGAGGCATTCAAGGTAAATAGGACTCTGAACATAACTGACATTCTACTTTGAGAGAGACGGGGTTTACCATCGCTGAACTTAGCCCCCGTTATCAATCCACTACTGGATGAAGGGATTGAAGGCCTCCCCACGACGCCACGTTTGCCCTTGAGGTTTTTTTTTACCACATCCATAAAATATTAATTACGGTAGTTTAGTGAGAACTCTGGAATTATAAAAGAAGTTACAAACACTTCGATAAGAGTTGAACTCTGATTAGTCCGTCAATAATTAATATTCAGTTGTAGTATAATTTCTCCTTCAACATCATCATCGGAAACACCATCAACATCACCACTACCATCGACAGCAGCAGCAAGAGTATTATTATTCACTATAATCTTCCCGAAGCAGGACATTTGACCAAAAACAAAAAGTCCTGGTGACAGTCACATTCTTCTAAGTGACATTCACATATTTAATGTTTTGTTGCCCTCCATACCTGCTGATCATTGTGCGATGTCTTTGTTCACATGTGTTCAGCTCTCTCCCCTTTGTAAATTCCACTGCTGGATGAAAGCCTCCACATGCCATGCGGATCTTGGGGGATATAATGTCCATGCTTCACCAATCTCGTCATTGGGAGATGGTGGAGGCGATGAGCTAGACATGACAGCATAGTTCAGTACAACAATGTATGTTGCTGCAATGTCCCTGTGCTTCCCATATAACGTAGTTCTGCAGCGGCCGATCACACCTGGTTTGTGCATGGTGGTGGTGGTTGGTGGTCGCCCATCCAGGCTCTATCCAGGCTAAATCCAGGCTAAATCCTGCTTAGCTTTTGAGAGCAAAACGAAATGGGATGCCTTCGGGGTTATGTGGGCATCGGCGAAAATTGTATTTAGCGATTACAATTTAATGACAACGTAACTGCTATTATTGTTCAACTGCTAACATCTAAATTATTTGCCCATTAGTTGTATCGCGCAGCTAAAAAAAAACATGATGGATGTAAACTTGTGGGTATGGATCGTTTAGTTTCATCCGGCTTCATCATGCGTGACTGCGGGTCGTTCCCATCGTTCATCATCCGTGAATCGATCCTTCACAAAATCGATCCGCTTAAAAAAAATCCTGATGTGGATCACGATCAATATTAAATTAAGCCGTTTCACGTAAGTAAAAAAAAAATCTTTGAAATTTACGGTTTTTTTTTATATGAAGGTAAGGATAGTTACACATTGGGTTCCATTCGTTAAAAGTGATCACCGTGAACTCTTATTACATCGTAATTATTTGTGATAAGGAAAAAAAACGTGGAATCACACACACGTGGCAGTATGATGCTTGTGTCGTCATCATCATCGGCCATTCTTGATCCACTGCTACATATACGGTATATGACGTACTAGGTTTCGGTCATAGATACGTGTAATTGCCACCATGGGCTCACAAGTGTTTTAAAGATCGGAGAGCACTCTGACTTATTTTTTTTCACGTTATCATTTAGAAACAAAACTATTTAGAGCCATCATGGGACCTCCTTTGCCAGTACCAAAATATGAGAAAACCTATTCTCATATTTTGAGCCACTTTGTCAATTAACTGCTGGAAATCCTCCCCCACACCGTGTCAGTTATGTGGGTTACTTTACCATACTTCCCCACGAACTGCTGGTGGGACCATCACAGGGGTTCGGAAACTAGAATAACTTAGAAGAGACATTTTTTTTTCAAATTCGGTAGTAAAAAAAAACCTCAATCTTGCAAGAGTTGCGATGCCGTGGTGAATACAAGACGGTGGGTCCTTAATGAATAACGGTCACGAAGCAGTCCTCAAAGAGCCTCATGTTGCCGACTTCTGGACTAACGTAACCACGCTGGCTGGCCAGTGGCTGGCCAGTGTGGGTTGGTTGGAAGAGGACCCGAACGGGCGACCCGGGCACCCGTTCAGATGATATTACGCGCCACTGATGTTCGCCGCGGCCGGGAATTCGAACTTGTATTGGGGGGTTTGGAGCGCAGCATGATTATATTACTGCGCCACCACTCCTCTCCTCTCCTGTGTGTATGTGCACATATATTATATTCTTGGTTCTTTCGGTAAAGTCACGTAGAAGGGAAACAATAAAATAATAAAAATATAAAACAATAAAATTATCACGACATTTTCTTGCTGTGGATTTCACACCTGATGATGATTGCTTGTGTTGCAGTTGAAACGTCGTGATAATTTTATTGTTTTATATTTTTATTATTTTATTGTTTCCCTTCTACGTGACTTTACCGAAAGAACCAAGAATATGAATCCCTGCAGTCACGAAAGCTTTAAATCAAAATGTACATATATTGTTTTTTAATGATTTACAGCGAGGGTATTGAAAGCGATTGTACACATTAGCTCTGCCCGCCATGTGCGTCCGTTTCGTCCGTCCGCCT